GTATATATACAGTAGATAGATAGATAGATAGATAGATAGATAGATAGATAGATAGATAGATAGATAGATAGATAGATATAAAATATACAGGTTTAATTAATTTATTAATTACTTTCATCTTATTCCATTTTAATTGTGGACTTTATGTATATTATCTAACTTTTAATTATAAAAATTTAACAGGTTTCTATTGTTTGGGCCTAGAAAGTGGTAATATTGATACTAACACTTGTTTGTTCACACTTTGTTACAACGGCTTACCTGTTCCTCTCATCACTACTGGATCCTTGCTCTGCTTCTGACACTAAATCACTTTTTAAATAACTCTCAGCACAAATATCTTTTTACAAAGCTTTCTGATCATCAGCTCAGTTACAGAAATGTACTGAAACATCTCTGTGCACTTTTCATAGGTCTACATCATACTCTTCATTAATTCTAATAATATTCAGTCAATGAGGGATCCTACCTGCACACTCTGGACCTGTGGGCTTTTGGAGCAGGATGGTTCTGTATGTTGGTTCTGACTCTGAGAAGCTACAAGACAGTTTCCCAGTTATGTGGTGTTGCATCATTTATATTATATAACATTGTTACTCACTTGATAATTAAGTAACTTGAACGGTGGTTTGCAGACACAGTTCAACATGTTGTCTTACCTGTTTCATCGTCCTCAAACCACGACCTCCTTTTTACTGAAAAAGCTGCTAATTTAGCACATATAGCTGTGTCAGTTTCCAGAGCTTTCCTCTTTTGTAGCTTTCTCCGCGCCACGCGGCTCGCTCTTCAAACACTACTGACCACGAGTGCTAACGTGTTACGTCAGAGCGCAAAACAACAACAACACAAAGAAAAAAGGAAAGAAAAAAAATACGAGAGCTGGCAGAGGCAGCCCTGGGGGGCAAGCCATTGTATCATATAAATGGTCGGCAATACAGGGAAACCCGAATAAGTGATCTGATCAATAACTAACAAGTTATACTGGCCCTTGTGGCCCAAATACCAGTCTGGCCCACCGGGAGAAGTCCAGATGGTCCCGATTAGCCATGCCGGGCCAGCATCTAACAAACATGTTCACTTATAAAAGATGCTCTGCCATCTGCTCAAACATATACACCATCTGAGACATCAGGGTTAGAGCTGTGCAAAAGTCTTAAACCAACCATCATATGTACATTTTGCTTCTTAAGWGACTGATTTTCTTACAGTATTTCACAGTGGTCTCTGCAGTACTTTTTAAAACCTTTTTGAAGATTTTCTTTTGTTTGTAGTCTTTTTTATTTTATTTTATTTTAGTTTTGGACAATGAGTTATTTTAACTCACTTTAAGTCTAGCGCACAATACTTTTCATAAGAATGTTTTGTTGTTTAACCACTTAACTATGGTATTTTTTACACAAAATTTAATATAAATCATGATGATGATGATGATGATTCAGGTCCAGTCAGGTCTTTGTTAATTTTATAAATTAATTTTACTAACTTTTCCCCTGTTTCTACAGACATGACTTTCAGACATTGTTTCTATGATTTAATTTGTGATTTTTTTTCTTTTACCCTCCTTTTGTCTAATTTTCTTATTGTCCCCTGTTTCCGAGGCAGAGRACATAGAAATACTCTCCATCTGTCTGTGACGGGGGACATCATCAGTTCTATCTTGTTCAGGTCTACATTCTGTCTCAGTCAGGTGCAAGAACTGTGCAAATATTTAGGGAAAAAAGTTGTCTCTGAACAATTTCAAAAGTCCTTCATAAACCTGAAGAACAAGACCACAAAAATATAAAAAGGTCTTGCTGCTTGTAAAAAATATGTAATCAAATAAAAAATTAAGTTTCAAACTTTTGCACAGTATGATAAATTTATGTTTTATATGAATTTAGTTTTCATGTGAGGTCTGTTTTACCAACTTTTTTGAGAATAGTTGATTTTTTTAAACAAAACTTCCTTAATACATTTTTTAACAAATAATAATAACATGTTATATATACAGTATGTATGTATGTATATGTGTTAGTTTAAACTAAATTAATCCATTTCTGCTTAGATGTGCTTTTGTGACAAGATTCCCAACTGGAAAAGATAAATGTGAATTTTATGAAAAGTCAATACTGTGCTGTGAAAAATATTTTCCCCAATGCTAATATCTTTACCTGTAGCTTTTTTTTGTCAGAAATCTGAAAACAAAAGTACCATCAAGTAAAAATAACATGATGGTGCAATTTTCAAACTTTGATTCCCTTATGGCCCGATGTGAAAAAATAATAACCCTTTATGGTAAATCATGAATAATGATTTATTTTCTATTGAAAGCTGRGCTTAGCTTTACCAGCCAGGTGTACTTTCTGTTTCATGTTGTGTCAAAATCCCACTGTAGTTAAACCGAAAGAAAGAAACGTACTGACAGTGTGATGGTCTGAARCTGCTTTGCTGCTTCAGGACGTGGACGGCTTTAATGGGACCATGAATTCTGCTCTCTACCAGAAATTCCCAAAGGAGATGAACCGGCCAACATTTGGTTCTGCAGCAGGACAATGACCCAAAACAAAMCAGTATAATTCCTCCACAGCCATGTGAAAGACACATCACTTAACATGAGCGTTGATGGCTTAAATTAATCGTAAAGAAAGTTTCTGAGGAAAAAGAAAAATTGCACTATACATCTGTATACATGCAAAATGAAGGGAAATCTGTATAAAYAACTTGATATGTATGCTGCCAGTAGTTGCACAACCAGTTTTTAGGTTTAGGGGTAATGACATTTTCCCCTGGGCCTGTTTGTTTTAGCTTTTACCCTTAATAAATGATGTCTTTTTTTACAAACTGTTTTGAATTTACTCAGGTTGTCTTTGAGAGTTGAATGAGATGAAAACATATGCGACAAAAAAGCAAAAAGAGAATAAATCTGTGTGGAGCGAATATTTTTTCATTCCGTAAATATTTCTGCAAGCTTTCTAAGTTTTCATTATTGGCTAAACAACATTATATAGTTCTGCATTTTGGCTTCTTAGAAAGCTTATTGTCCAGTCTAACANTTTGAACCTAATTATGCCCACTTGTTTTCTGCTTGTTTATTTAAGCAGTGATAGATTTTTTTTTCTCTGCAGTCCCCAGGCACCTCCACCACCAGAACAGTCCTGGGAGGAGAAGCCCTCCAGTGTCAGCCATCTTGGTTCTGAGGATTTTAGAGAAGCTCTAAAGAAGAAGAAACATGCTTTGGTCATGTTCTACGCTCCCTGTAAGAGTTTTTCATTTTAATAAAATTAGCTAAATATTTATGTTGATACAACATTTTACTGAAGGACACTTTGGTATCCTGGAAGTACAGGGTTCCTGCGAATCCTTAAAAAGTCTTAAAAGTCATTGAATTCATCAATCCAAAAATAAGGCCTTAATTGGCCTTAAAATGTCTTAAATCAATCTTTCAGAAATCTTAAAAATGTTAACACATTTGTAAATATGGTGCTGCAAATTCGTATCAAATATTAAAATAATTGGTAACTTTTATTTATTTTTGAAATATTCACATTTAAACATTCCCTTTTGACACCACTTCCTGTTATTTCACATGCAAATATCTCAACAACTGTCCATCTGAGCAATATGAAATTAGTTTTGTAGTATGTTAATAATGTTGTCTTTACAAAAATGCATTCATATTTTGTACAAACATTTTACATCACAAGCACTTTAAGGTTTCATCTACAGCAAGCTAGGGTTGAGAACCCACTGTGGGTCCTAATTAGAAGATTTTCAGGAATTTAAGTTTAAAATTGACTGCTAAGAAGGGGTTTTTGGAGCTATATTTGACAAAATAGCAGTTAGATATGGAGTTTCTGCCACAGTTTTAATTATTTTTTCTTTCATTTGTGTTCATTATGAAATTGGTCTTAAATTTGATTTCACTAGGCATTAAAAAGTCTTAAAAAGTCTTAAATTTAACTTTCCTTAAACTATAGGAACCCTGAAATAACTCCCCCAGCTTTTCAGGTGGAAAACAAGCACAGAGCCACGGCTGACTCCTGAGATTTGTTTAAAACGTTACTTACAGATTCGAAATGGGAAAAAAAAGCTACTGTTATGGTAATATTTATTGAACAAAGACAGAAATACGTGGTCCAAGAATGAAGGTACTCCGTGAGATGATCAGCTGAGTTTTATTGCAACAACAGGAAACGCAGAGAACAACCTGTCCTGTCTCTGTGCCTCTGCTTCTCTCTGTCACTCCACTCGAGAGGCCTCATATATATATTAAAAAACACCATAATGTTAACTAACTGTTGTTAGCAAATCTTGTTCTGACTTTAATCATTCTATCTGCAGATGAACAGCATGTCTTGAAAACCTAGGTCATTAAAGGATGTCATGAATTACTTGCTTAAACATAAAAGTATTAGTTCCACTACATCTCCCCCATCTGATCGTTAAATCACCAATTAAATGATCAATAAAACAAAAAAACTCTTTAATGTATTTTTAAAAAAACATGTCAACATAAACCTAAGTATATGTACTTTTC